AGTAGTAATTTTATAATGTTTTCTCAATAAAATAATGTATGCTGTGGTATGCTGGAAACACCTGCGAAAATTTCGAGTGGCACGTTTTTTCGGTTCTACGGCACCTCGCCAGCTCGTGTAAAGTTACGCAAAGGTTTACGTCAATATTAGCTTGATGAATCGCACCTAAAACGGCCTCGCTTGCGTACGCGAAATCGTACGCAAATTTACTAAATAACTGTGTTGATGAATCGCAACTAACCAACGTCGATTGCGTACACAAGATTTACGCAAAATATTTTGCGTACGCAGCTTGATGAATCTACCCCCTGGCTCGTCATTTGCGGTTAACTAAATTGTGTAAGTTATGATTTTTGACCGCATGATAGAGCCACTGTGCAGTTTTCAAATGCACCGCGACCCCTGTGCGCTACCCGCGTAGAAATAGATAGATGGCTACCCGTCAGACGATGGCGCTCTACTGCGCATCGGCTGTGCACTGTTGTTGCCATGGGAACTCCAGGCGTGCACTAACAAACAGCATGAGGAAACATCAATTTTGGCATGCTATTGCCCAAACATTTGTAACCGTGCAAAGAGAAGAGGCGTTTGCCCTTGCTTTGCGTCTCAACATGTTTACACGTATTGTGTGCACGTGCGGGTCGAAGAAAATTGCGTGCACAATCTAGCTCTAGTAAAAGTAGTATTACTAATACTATTGCTAGTACTAATAGTATTAGTACTATTAGTAACTATACTCTATAGACTATAGCCAGCGTGGCCGTACGCGGGCCTATAGTTAATACTAGAGGCTAGAGCTATGCACAAACAAGAAGACCTCTTCTGCAAGTTTGAGCCACGATCGTGACGTTGGACTCGACGACAGTGAAGTCAGTGAAGACGCCGTCGACGAAGAGGTATGCCACTAATGCTTATACTTATACCTATGTACCACGGCACAGGGTACTAATCGCACGAAGGGTACTACTATCGCACGAAGGGTCGTTGTCGTAACAGGTACTACAGATATGTACCCGAGGTAGTTTTAGGTTGTTTAGTATTATGTTTATATTTTTATATGAGGTATGTTAGGGTTAGGGTTAGGCGTTAGAGTTAGGGTTAGGGTTAGTGTTAGGGTTAGGGTACACTTCTGTAGTACAAGTCTGGTACACTTTGTGTATACATATATATACTTCAGGTACATATCTGTAGTACCTGTTACGACAACGACCCCTTGAGCGGTACTATCGGAGGGTACTCTGTCTCTGGGTACGGTTCGATATATCGGAACGTACCCTGTTAACTATCTGATAGTGATAAAACTGATATGGTTAGGGTTAGGGGAGCAGGCGTAGGCGACTCCCTAGACTCGTTAGCGGAGTAGGCGAGGTACGGTCCGGCATATTAGATAGTACCAGGGTACGTTCCGATATATATCGAACCGTACGGCGTACCCAGGGTACCCTTCGATACCCTGGGGGACATAGACCCTATCAGCGCCACTAATGTAATGACTAATGTACTTTATTTTTATTACAAAGATAGTTATATTGTTTAAGTCCCAGGGATAGAAATTAACTTTTTATCAAGGGAGTCCAGTGGACTCCTTGCCCTGAAAAAGAGAGAGTCCACAGTCTGATAAGTGATTTTCAAAGCTAATACTAATAGTAAATAGTAAAGACAACAATTACGCATGTTTTTAATCTTGTTTTGCTTGCATGACTACGGCAGTACGGCTATGTATCACCATATCACAGCATATCTTATTATCTGCCATCTCCTCTACCGGAGAGGGTTTCACTTGCGTCCTCCCCTCCTAGGTGCCCGTCACCATAAACGGCCCTATAGAACGACAAATAAGGCAAGGCAAAAATCAACAAGTCCCATAAGCCTAGTAGGGAATAGTTAGTACTGTATACGCCTACAGCGTAAGGTGATAAGACCCAATTTACATACAGTTGTGACAGACAGTGTCTTTGTCACAATACATAGAAAGTTCATTTGCTCGCAGTAACCGTGTTTGCGTGTATCTGTGCGTGTGCGTGCGTGCACGTATGGTGCGAGTGTATAGAATTGTAGTGTGTTCACGTTTGTGTCTGTTTGCGTGCCCGCGTGTGTGGCCCATCTGTTCGTCTGTCTGCCTGTCCGCCTGACTACCTGTCCGAGCGTCCTTTTGTCCGTCCCTCCGTCCGTCCGTCCGTCAATCCGTCTTTCTCAATCTCGCCCATTCTGTGCGAGTGCGTATGCGTACGTGCGTGCGTGTGCGTGTGCTTGTATGTTTGCGTGCGTGCACACTATGTGCATGGCGGTCAATATATTACCATAGTATATGATTATGATTTGTTTTATATAATGTCCGACTGCCCTTTTTGGCTACAAAGACGTTTCCATAGCGATATATACATCGGTGATAAGACTGGACACTGGAGGTGCTTACTATACTAACAGTTATCAGAGTGTAACACCGGGATACAATTGCTGTGTGAGTACACAGTATTGGACTATGCTCTCCTGATAACTAGAAACAACTATTAGCAGATAATACTTTGCTGTATTGTATGGGATTCTTAAATACGATTGATTCTAAACAATGATATATCAATCGTATATCATCAGCTCTCTTTAATGGGTGTTGTACGCAAATTAAAGGAAATATAGAGGAGATAAACAGTAAGGCTTTGGCAGTAAATACTATTCGTGATTATTTGCTACCATTTTGTTATTGAAACGCCCCAAGTGCTTGTGGATACAAGGAAGCGTTTTCCCGCCATCACAATCTAATGCGACGCCCCCATACATTTCAGCGCGATATCGCGAGCACAACACGCAATGTCTCGGACGGCGACCGTGTGGCCCTTGTAGTTAACCGTACATCAGCAAAACGTACATTTTACGTCATAGTGCCACTATAGACGCATCTATAATATAGACAATGACATGTCTGGAATAACCTTATTTTTGTTTCCCCCTGTTCTAAAACTGTTAAATCTAAGCACAAACATGCGCCTATAGCACACAGCATATGAACCGTGTACGGCAATGTAGATGTAAAAGGATAACTGAAAGAATTGATTTGAAGAATTTCTTTACATATTTTAAAAGCATAGCATAATTCTCAGTGACTGTATGGGTTTATATGCTTTATATGTGCAATCAACAATGCATAGAAAGCAAAATATTATTGAAGACAACTATGCCTGCGACTGGCCGCCACTAGTTGCTCGGAATAGAACAGTGGGCAACTGGACGCAACTAGTCGCTGCCGATCGCTTCCAGTTGCTCGAAATCCAGTTGCTTCCAGTCGAGTCGGCTCGCAAGCCCGACATAAGCCCCCATTTAAACAGACTTGTGAACGGGAGGGCATTATAATATGCTCCGTTCCTGAACGTAGACAGGGTATACAAAACATCTAGAGCTGAGGACGTCAGACCTTGTGTTTTAAGGTGCGCGATCGCGCTCGCGCGCCATCGCGCGCCTCGATTGATCAGGAAAAGTGCGAAAAAACGCGCATCTAAGCATTATCAAAACGCACACTTTTTTTCTTTTTTTTCGTGTTTTATTTTTCATTTATTCAACTTATAAACTCGAAGATGAACGCAAACGGTTGTAAACATCACGGACATTGCCGGAAGTCGGTTCACATGTTTATAACGACAGTCACAAAGCGCTCTAGAACGACGAATGTGATTGGTTGTATTTTTAGATAAAGTTTTAATAGTCTACTTTGAAAAATTGAGTGTTGTTCCTTTTTGACTAAACATACTAAATGTGTGATTCAAGTTATCCACATGTTCAAGAACTGATATTTTGTTAGATGAAAAAAAAATCACCTAAAAAATGTAAAAATTAAGAGTACAAATGCGGAGCTAATTTTTATCCCAAAATGCTGGAAATGGCATTTCATGAAGTCTAGTTTTCACATTTTTTCTCGAACCCCCCTAGTTTGCCTCGTGCCCTGTGGGCACTCCGATGCAAATCACACACCTCGGCGAGCCAAGGTGTGCGATTTTTCACTCGCCTGCTTTTTCCAAAACACAAGGACTGGGACGTGATCTCCCTCGACGCACAAACAAAACCTCATGACAGTCTAAGAAATCAATTGCGGCATGACCCCAGTGTTTTTATGACCGCATAACAATAAGTTCATATGTAGCAGGGGTTATCGTGGGGAGTGAGGGCACGACATTGACACCTGACACGCACGTAATCAAAGCTGTTAACTGAATCCGTCACTTTTCTTTACCGAGAGTGGACTATTTTTATTCAGTTAGATATCTAGAAGCAATGTAAACTGTATATACTTCAAGATTCTAGGCACTTGTAACTTTGCGGATGTGTGGCAGCATTGATCTATGCATGGGTACCAAGGACTAGGGCAGGAGAAAAACGAAAGTAAAACCTTTCCCAGAAGCTCCCCCGACATTCCTAGAGCTTGAAGTTGAAATATATTATTTGACCAACTCTAAGTTACATGTATGCTGTTAACGCCAATTGACAGCCAATTAACAGCCAACACGTTAATGCCAATTAAGAGCCAATTAACAGCCAACAAGTTAATGCCAATTAAATGGTTATTTTTATATACTATTTTGTTACTCACTGCTAGTAAATAAGCAGACCACAAGCTTTTGTGCAGGACCACCAATTTTCTGAAGTTCGTGGTCCTGCTGTCCACTAGATTTTCAGCTAAAATTTGAACCCTGAATGTATATGAACCTGAACAGGTTAAAATTACTACAGGCATAAACAATGCACGAGTACTGGTAGAGACAAATAAGCTTACAAATGAGCTTCAAGCTTACAACTGTCAGTACAGTGATCCCAGTTTTATTGGGCCCTAAATAAACAGGCGCATACCTTCAGCTTGCGACACACTAGGCGAATTTTTAGGCGAAAGATTTGCCCGACTCAGTCGCCGACGAATGAGTCAGGCGACTGAGTGGACACACTAGGTGAATAACAGCGCGATTCATCAGCGATTTTTCTCCCGCTTACCTAGATTGATGGTCACATGATTGAAAATGGCATCATTTGATTGGCTGATGAATTGTACATTCGGGCGACTCATTCCCCGACCCGGACACACTAGCCGATTGTAGTCGCGTGACTAAAATATTCGCCCGATTTTCGATACGGGCGATTTGCATTATCAAAATAAATCAATAAAAAAAACAACGTTTGTGATTAGCCCTCGGTCTGTAACGTGCAAAATAAATTGGCAAATACGCAACTTTTTCAGGGTGGCAGGTCACTGGCAGCACAGGCACCTAAATCTAACACGATCCCCCAATGCGAGCACCGAAGGTGTGAGAAGGTAGGACACACAATTTCACGAATGTCCGATATCAATGAAAGTTTTTGATTCTCAATAAACATATGCACATCCCCGTATTCCTACTTTGTTGTACTAACCTCCCCTGTATATGTTTGCACTGTCAATGATATTTGATAGCGTTAGGAGAGTAAAATCAGTCGCCATTAAAAAATTAACAGTTCCCACACATTCAATGGCGGTCATGGCGTGGCAAGTCATGGCAATGCCGCCACCTGATTGGACAAAATTCGAAACACAAGTCGCCGCCATTTTTGTAACGTGTGGAAGCGAAGTACGGTCCAATCCTTATCGGATGTATATATAGGGCCTGGCAGAGTTTAGAGACACACTGTCGATCTTTTTCGTCGCTATATACATTCCGTCAACAACATGTCTGGTCGTGGTAAAGGAGGAAAGGTTAGAGCAAAGGGAAAGAGCAGAAGCAGTCGCGCTGGACTGCAGTTCCCTGTTGGACGTATCCATCGTCTGCTTCGTAAGGGCAACTATGCCGAGAGGGTTGGCGCTGGAGCTCCCGTCTACCTGGCTGCCGTCGTTGAGTACCTGACCGCTGAGGTGCTCGAATTGGCCGGTAACGCTGCTCGCGACAACAAGAAGTCAAGAATTATCCCACGTCATCTGCAGCTGGCCATCCGCAACGACGAGGAGTTGAACAAGCTGCTCTCCGGAGTCACCATCAGCCAGGGAGGTGTCTTGCCCAACATCCAGGCTGTCCTGCTGCCAAAGAAGTCTGCCAAGGCCCATTAAATGGGAATCAGCGCCTGTACTAGTGAAACCAACCGGCCCTTTTCAGGGCCACCATTTCTTCCCAGAAATGATTTTCTACATTTGCAATTCATCATTATTATATTATTTGAACGGTCTAAGTGCATGCGATATAGGCTACATGTTTTTGACGCCAATAACGGCATCGGGCTGCTAATTAGTACTACTACACGTTACGGCACCATAAATCATTGCAAGCTATGGCTGCACAAGCAGCACTATGAATTAGACATGGTCAAACGTGAAAAGATTGCCTGTGTACATAAAACCTAGTCCAAATGTTAAAAGCCGTTTTCAATTCATAATTATAATCTTCTAATAATGGTTTCTAGTTATCAGGTGTGCATAGTCCAATAGTGCGTACGCACATAGCAATTGTATCCCCGTGTTACACTGATAACGCAGTAAGCAGTCTTATCATCGATGTATATTTCGCTATGGTAAAATCATTGCAGTCGGACATTTTATAACATAGATCATATACTATCAAGAGCGTGTTAAGTACGCTTTTGATATTAAGGTAATATTTTGGCCGCCATGGAAAGCAAACGGGGTATATATAGATTAATACAGAAGTCATATTGCATATTGAGTATATTTTATATTGTACGCCATGTTACATTCTGATTAGTGTGTGTGTGTGTGTGTGTGTGTGTGTGTGTGTGTGTGTGTGTGTGTGTGTGTGTGTGTGTGTAGAACTGTTAATTTTTCACAAATATGGAATATATGCTATATACGCTGTAAAACATGATTGACAGTTCAACCAAAGACGCCGGAGACAACAATACAAACTAAGAACGTGTATGCACATGTATTTTAATTGAAACATTCACATTTTTTATCTAAAAAAAGGTCCGATTTGATAAAGTCGTGAAATTGTGTGTACTAGTACTACTAACTTCTCACACCTTCGGTGCTCGCATTGGGGGATCGTGTTAGATATAGGTGCCTGTGACTGGCAGCACCATCACGGGTGTCATTTCAAATTTCGTAGCGTTGATGTGTAATTAATTATAACAATTAAATTTGGTATCTGGTGACAAATACATGTGGGTATAGACGATTTGATATACAGTAAGTACAGTTGTATGCAGTAAAATCCTAGAGTCTACTATCCCTTTAAGTATAAAGGCGTCTGTCATAAGAATACGATGTATGATGAGAAATATTTGAACAAAATTGCACTACATAGTACAGAAACTGCATGTAAATATGAACTCACAGATTTATCGTTCTGTTGAGTGTAAGTGAAGCCGCCGTAACGTATTTTGTATTATATTGTGGCGAAGTTTTTGGCCATCCAGCGCCACTGGCACCAGTCCTAGAAGAATGAACAACGTTAGCCATTGCTTGTTGTGCCTGACACTGCCTGTGCCGAAAATCTCACGATAATCGGCGAGAACGGTATATACGGTGGTTGGAGAGGGCTATGCAAGGAGCATAATTATGTTGTTCAGCATAGAAGGCGTCCAGTGCTGAATAAGCATCGAACAGAAATTAATTAAAAATACTCACACTGTTTCGTCGCATGCACAACATACACTTTATTCACGTTAAATAACCACAGATTCAAGATCTATGGCTATGCTCCGCTCGAAACTTTTACCAGCTTATTTTTGCAAAGTATTTTGATCCCGCGTATTTTTGCAAAGTATTTTGATCCCGCGTATTTTTGCAAAGTATTCTGATCCCGTTTCATACGCAAAAATACCCGACCAGTGACCATCGCTACGGCACTTGCTTGAATGGCACAATTACATGACAAGACCAATCTTACTTCTAATGCTTTCTAGACGTCCACGAGGCATCTAACTTGCGTGCATAATGCAAATTAGTGCACTCTAGTGCCGCATTTCACCGCAAAAAAATATTGAAAAGATGCCTTTTCTATGGATTACATATCACCTTGGTGAGGGATGGATTCAGTATAATCAGTGAAATCAGTTAAATCAGACCAAATAATGCGATGAACAATTTGCGGGTGCTTACTGTTGTATTGCCTATATGCAGCTATAACATACCAGTTCACGGTTAATCGCAGTTTTAGATTTGCCGCGTCACTGTTGACGTCTATTCTCGAATCACAAAAATTTTGGACCAGGTCCCGACCAGGTTTTCCCTAGTTTCCAGATAATGATAACATTGATACAACCTCGCGTCCCGAAAATAACCGACCCACCACAGCCTAGCGAATGTAGGCCTCACACATA